CTACTCTTTCCACCTTTAGGCAATCCTTGAAAATTCATCTCTTCGGGGAAGACTTTCCCAGCTCCACCTAACAACTGAATTTTTAATTCTTCCATCATCTCATCACCTCACATTCATTATCTTTTTTATCGCCCCACCCTATTAGATTGTAAGCTCTTATGAGCAGGGGTCTCTTACCCTTTTGTATTTCATTGTATTGTAACTGTACTGTCTCCCATTATATTGGAAAGTGCTGTGCAAAATGTTGGCGCTATATAAATTCTTCATATTAATGTCTAGCCTTACTTGGAGTTGCACAGTCTTCCTTTGCAGCTCTATTCATTTTTTTGGGAAAGCTGTACATCAAGCAAGCATTTTGAAGCTTTCATGAGTATGGAATACCATAGGGAAAAAAGTGGCTGAGGCACTCGTGCAGTACAAAGCTTTCATTTTAAAGCTGAACACTGACGATCTCTAGATGATGGTTCTGTAGCTTTTAAGGGGTTGGGGACAACTGATTAATGGAAAAAGGAACAGACAGTTGTCCTCTAACATCCATTAAAAACTAAATTTCTTTCTAAAACTACGTATGCTGATGTGCAATTTTACTGCAAAATGAACAGCATTGTAACCCGGTTGTAGAAAGGGACATAAAAACGGATCTACTGGCATTATCAAAATATAATAAAAGTATGTTACAGAAGGGACTCAGAAAACCAAAACATGCATTGAAATGCTACTTACAAACAACAATATGTATGCAATGTTTAATTTTGCCCATAGTTACACTTTAAAGCATTCTAAAAAACATTTAATATGAAGCTTATTAAACTTTAATCCTTGCAAAAATGAGTGTCCTATTTAAGAGCACACACCACAAAATGCTCACTGAATGATCAGTGGTCTTTGATCGCTCAGTTCTCAGATGTAGTATAAGATCCATGCTGCATCCACCTAGAGATGTGTGTGTGTGTGTGTGTATATATATATATATATATACACATATATATATATATATATATATATATAAATATATATATATATATGTGTGTGTGTGTTTGTATATACAGCAGGTTAAATAAGTATTGAACACTTCACCATTTTTCTAGGTACATATATTTCTAAAGGTGCTATTGCCATTTTCACCACATGTCAGTAAGAGCTCTTGCAATCCACACATACAAAGAACCCTAAACAACTAAGCTCAGAAATTAAGTTATGTGTAGTAAAAAGGAATTATCTACAAATATATGTTGCACTCCTAAATACTTCTCAATAAATAATAATTAAATTATTACCATTAAATTAATTCAAATTATGATACAAATAACTAATAAAAGTGTATAAATACCAAAAAATATTTAAATAGATAGTTTCAACTAATCAATCTCCTCCAAATAAATATCAAAATAATTCCACATGAAATACTCCTCTAAAATGTGGAATTATTTTGATATTTATTTGGAGGAGATTGATTAGTTGAAACTATCTATTTAAATATTTTTTGGTATTTATACACTTTTATTAGTTATTTGTATCATAATTTGAATTAATTTAATGGTAATAATTTAATTATTATTTATTGAGAAGTATTTAGGAGCGCAACATATATTTGTAGATATTTCCAACACAGTTGTAGTTATGTGTTTCATGTTTGCGATCCTCTAGTAATTATCACACCTGTGGCTCGCAAGTCACTCTGATTCATCTATACCTTAAAAAAAGGAATGAAACAGGGAAAAAGTATTGAACACATGAAAAAAAAATGAGGTGCAAAAAGGCATGGAAAGCCAAGATACCAGCTGAAATCTATTAGTAAGTAGAAAGCAACCCTGCCAGTTCAGTCTCAACTGATGACCTATAAAAAGGTGCCTTTAACCAAGGTGTCACACAAGAAACATCTCATGATGGGTAAAAGCAAAGAGTTCTCTCAAGACCTTCGCAACCTTATTGTTGCAAAACATACTGATGGCATTGGTTACAGAAGGATTTCTAAACTTCTGAATGTTGCAGTGAGCACTGTTGGGGCCATAATCTGGAAGTGGAAAGAACATCATTTCACCATAAACCGGCTTCAACAAGGTTCTCCTTGCAAGATTTTTGACAGGTCAGTGAAAAGAATTATTATTAGTTGTCCAAGAGCTAAGGACCACTTGTGGAGAGCTTCAGAAAAATCTGGAATTAGCAGGTACAATTGTTTCCAAGAAAACAATAAGTAATGCACTCAATGGCCTGTATGCAAACTCACCACGCAAGACTCCATTACTCCGCAACTTATTATGTTTAAAGTTTGCTGCACAACATTTAGATAAGTCTGTAAAATACTGGGAGAATATATTCTGATGAGATGAGACCAAAATTGAACATGTCAAATGGCATTGCACATCACCCCCAAAAACACCATACTAATAGTGAAGTTTGGAGGTGGGAACATAATGGTGTAGAGCTGTTTTTCAGCTTACGGTACTGACAAACCTCATGACAAGGAAGGATAAATGGAAAAATGTACCAAGACATTCTTAATAAAAATCTGCTGTTATCTACCAGGATGATGAAGATGAAACAAGGGTGGACATTTCAGCAATGATCCCAAACACAAAGTCAAGGAAACTCTCAATTGGTTTTGAAGAGAGAAATTAAAGCTGCTATAATGTCCCAGCCAATCACCTGACTTGAATCCAATAAAAAAATCTATGGAAAGAACTAAAGATTAGAGATCGTAGAAGAGAACCTTCCAGATTTGAAGACTGTTTGTGTGGAAGAATGGGCCAAAATCACACCTGAGCAATGCATGCAACTAGTTTCTCCTTACAGGAGGTGTCTTGAAGCTGGCATGACCAACAAAAGATTTTGAACAATGTCCAGTTAGCATGTTCAATACGTTTTCCCTGCGTCATTCCATTATATTGCACATAACTTAATTTCTGAACTTATTAATTTGGTTTCTTTATATGTATGGATTGCATGGTGATGTGTTCAATGCTTAGTTTACCCATTTATATATATATATATATATATATATATATATTTTTAACCTATACTTTTCTTTTAACTGCACGTCCTATCTGCTGCTAAAGACCCCTAAATGTCCCATGCAAAACCAGATTTTCGGGTTTCAATATTTGCATAGGCTTAGGGCATTCCATGTAACAGTGCTCAGACCTGGACATTGGCTATTAGGCACCACATACGACTGTATATTGCGGAGGCACAGACCGGGTACAGGCATGCCCAGAGGTACTGGGCTACTCTCTGGGCTTAGCATGCCTAAAGTAGTTGTGTACATTCAATGTTATAGACACTTTCTAATACAGTTTATAACTATGCTGACACAATAACTGTTTTTTCTTAGCTTCAAAAATTATCTTTCCTACCTTTTTACAAGGTTAAAAAGTTCTATCATGTCACCATACATCTTTTCTCTCTGATAGTAAGGGCCGGGGTTACAGAACACTGTGCAGACACCTAGTGTGCCTGTATTCCAAAGTCTGTTCAGTCTGAGGCAAGATGCAGGTAGTGCTTGAGCAGGGGGCATGTTCAAGAGGCAGGCTGTGATTGGTTGGAAGCATGGTGGGTGAACATACTACCCAGTACAGGCATGCTGTGTGTCTGTACAGTGTCCTGTACATCTGAATAGCCAGCCAATGGTTGAAAACTGATCATGTAAGCACAGATCAGCTTCTGTTTTTTTGTGTGGTCAGTTTAGAACAAGAAAGAAAGGTGATTGGCAGGATCAACCAGTTACTTCAGATGGTAGAAGTACAAGAAAATGATAGAGACTAGGATTTGTGAAATACACATATGTAAACACACACATAGAAAAAAAATATTTAGGGTAGCATCCACTTTAAGGTAAATGGAGGCACTTTATGGTGCCTGCTGTAAAGCCTTAGTTTCAGTTTAGATGTTGATTTATTTTCGTGATTTGTGTACATGATATGCATTAGTCTTTATTTAAAATCAGCATTCTTTCTCCTTATAAACTAAGAATGTGTAGTGCGCTAACTTCTCATCCAGACATATAAATGAAATAAAATAATCCTCTAGTAATCCCATGCAAGATAAATCTGCACTACAATAAAAGTCCAACTCCCAAAACACAGAGGGGTTTATTTACTAAAGCTGGAGAGTCCAAAATCAGACTCCCTTCTGCATAGAAACCAATCAGCTTCTAACCTCAGCTTGTTCAATGAAGCTTTGGCAATGAAACCTGGAAGCTGATTGGTTTCTATGCAGAAGTGAGTCTGATTTTGGACTCTCCAGCTTTAGTAAATAAACCCCAGAATGTCCAAATTAGTGCATTTAACAATCACTTTCCAAAAGACTTGTTTGTGCTCAAGATACTCTCCCTGCTCACCTTTAAATTTGATCTACAAATTGTAATAGGTTAAATGCGTTTTTACATAAGTGAATCCTTTCATATGGCGACAAAGCCAGAATTTCTTCACTCAATCACAACTCCCGACTCACGACTAATGGTTGGGTGCACAAAACATATGTGCTCACATTACAGCAAAACACACCGTGCTTCACAACAGTGTTGTAAAGTGTTCACTTCTTCCAACATATACAAAAGTGCTTCCCATCACCAATGAGTGGCCATTCACTCACCTTCTTCCTTGACCCAAATATCATATAGGTCATAAGCATTATAAACGTTGGTGAATCTTTTGCTTGTGCACCGCTATCCCTTAGTAGCTATTTCCTTGCTACTGGCCCTTTAACCACTTGCCTCCTGAGGATTTACCCCCTTCCTGACCAGGCCATTTTTTGCGTTATGGTGCTGCTTTACTTTAACTGACAATTGCGCAGTCATGCAATGCTGCACCCAAATTAAATTTCCGGCCTTTTTTTCCCCCCACAAATTAAGCTTTCTTTCAGTGGTATTTGATCACCTGTGCATTTTAAATTTGTAAATGAATTGGTTTATGTGAAAGTTATAGCGTTTACAAATGACGGTATATATACTGAAATTTTTTTTTAATTTTAAATTTTTACTAGTAATGGCGGTGATCAGCAACTTATTGCGGGACTGTGGCGGGCATTCTGACACTGGGGGTAACCGACTTGGTGTCACTGACATCCCCAGTGACACCAATACAGTGATTAGTACTAAAAAAAAAGCACTGACACTGTACTATTGGCACTAGGCAGGAAGGAGTTAACATGAGGGGCGATCAAAGGGTTAACTGTGTACTGTTTTACTTGTGTCTGTGTCCCTGTGCTTCACTGTAAGCATAGCCATCCAAAGCAGTGTGCAGGAGCTTACAGGGAGGTGAATTGTTTTGTTTACAAACAGTTTTCCTCCCCTTCGTAGATGCTTGGCAATTACCGGGACCTGGTGATTGACAGCTGCGGCCGTGAATTTCCCTACCGGAAATGCAAAATCACATATATATATACAGGGGTGGACTGACCATTTGGAAACTTGGGCACTGCCCAAGGGCCCAGGGTCAGTAGAGGGCCCCATGAGATGCCCCTGGTACCTTTTTCATAGGCTTTTTTGAGTTTGGGCAAGGACACAGGGGCCCCATGATCCTCTATTGCCCGGGGGCCCCATCAGTTGCCAGTCCGCCCCTGTATATATATATATATATATATATATATATATGTGATTTTGTGCACTTGTGCCGCTCTGTAGCAGTATTTCTGCTATAGGGCGGTCGGGAAGCTGTTAAGAGACTAGATTTCAGCTTCCCACCGAGATGGTAAATGCTTAGGGCAAAAGAGGACAAATCATAGTGCAACCCCATAAAAACAATTTCCTTTATTAACCACGTCAAGTCTGGACACTTTCAACCCCTTCCTGTCCAGGCCAATTTTCAGCTTTCAGTGCTATCACACTTTGAATGACAATGTGCTGTCATGCAACACTGTACCCACTGGGATTTTTTTTTTTTTTTGCTATATAAATGAAAAAGTCCAAACATTTTGAAAAAAAAGTGTTTTCTTATAAAATTTTGAAAATAAATAATCTTTCTTCATAAATCTTGGCCAAAATGTATTCATCTATCTTTTTAGCAAAAAAAACCCAAATTAGCTTATAACCAAAAATTATAATTTTCCCAAAAATGTTATTACATTTTTATTTTATTTTTGTATATTATTATTTATGTTTTTTTTAACATACTGTCACCCTAGCAGTACAGTGTCACCATAGTGATGAAGTGGTGATGAAGATTTTTTTTTTTACACTGCTGGCTTTTACACCCATAAAGGCTGTAAAAGCAATCATTTCTTCTTCTTTCTGGCTGCATTCTTGCAGCCATTAAGAAATACTGTGAGAGCTGTGATTGGTCACAGCTTGTCACATGGTACAAGGCTTGTACCATGTGACCTCTGTGATCATTCACAGATTTCACTAGTAGTAAGCAATGATGTCAGCAAGTGATTGGCAATCAGTGATCACATGATCGAGACCTCACACAGAGGTCCCGTACAGCGATCGGTGTTCCGCGGGCACTGGCATTGAAGCGGGAGGACGTTTATGCACTGCACCCGCTCCTGCACTGCTCCCGTCTGGCCTTTTATGTATATGGGCCGGACGGGAAGTGGTTAAGCTATTAAAATCCACTCACAAAGTGCCAAACAGTAATTCCAATGACAAAAATGGTTCCTCTTACCATACTTCCTGGTTTGCACAATACCGGAAGTGACGTCACTAGGCTCCACCAGTTTAGATGTTCATTTATTTTTGTGATTTGTGTACATGATATGCATTAGACTTTATTTAAAAGCAGCATGCTTTCTCCTTAGCTTTCAGGACCAAATTAAGTTATTTTCTTATTTTGTTACAAGTACTTGTTTTAAGGATAATAAATATTGCTGGTCCATGTTTGTTTTTCAGATCTTATGTGTTGGGAATTTATACAATCCTGATGTACGGTACACTTTTAATATTCCCATTGAAGATAAAAGTAACCAATTTTCTTGGGATTGGTATGGACCTTGGCAACCCTGCAATAACATATGCCAAGGTACTGATATCAAGCTCCTCTTTGAAGCAAATTTCTGTTTTGTAACAATTCTGTTTTGTAATTTAAACATGTTTAGGCACAAATTAAAATATTAAATTGAAGATATACTTAAATCTTGTAATGCATGCCATAAAATGTAAATGTTTACTAGTTCATAATTTGTGACATGAAAATAGAGGTCTTTATTGGTAATGTCTACGATAATGATCTAGAACTTCTAAAACGCTGTTGCTATGTAAATGCTGACGTTTTACATACACCTATATCAATTTTTATAACTTATAGATATGTAAAAAGTAGGTTCTTAGACCAATGAGCTAATTTACTAAATGATTTGAGAATGTTAATGCAATAAAATGTAAGAAGATTCACTTTGTTATCCAATTATGTGAAGAGGAAATCCCTGTTTACTTATTTTATCTGCACATGATTGGATAACTGAAGTGGTTAATTACAGATTTTATCATGTGAGTATTTGTAAATCAGTTAGCCTCCATAAGCCTGAGTTTTAACTTTTTACCTTATAATATATACTGTGCGCCTTTCTTTTCTACTAATTTATTCATTGACATATGGGATGATATTAATGTTTTTGTGCAAGCCTTGTGCAGTCATAAATCATAAAGTAACTACCTACAGTAGTCTTCAAAATATATACAAATGATTTGGACATATTTAAAAAAAAAATTAAAAAGCTCAGTCAGAAAAATAGAGCCGTAAAGCAAATTGTGCTGTCTCTTTAGCTAAGTTGTCATGGATTGCAAAAATTGTATGTACAATATATATTAAATAATTTTTTTTTATACAGAATTGAGTAAAGTGGGGTTAAGCTTTAAGCAATAAAAATTAAATAATAAGGCCATTAAAATGTCCTTTTTAATATTTTTATAGATTAATTTATTTGTTAAAGCAAAAACCAAGCCTAGTATATGTTAATATTTCTATCAATATATTTTTTTATAATCTTATTATACAAACTTAATGTACATTATTTTTTAAGCATGATCCAAATCACTCCAATATATAAACATACTATAGGTGAAGCACCAAATACCAATTTAATATACATGGTTTCAGAAAATAAAGGAGGCACTTAATTTATGATTTTTTACCCTATAAGATCTGTGCAAAAACATTTATGTCATTCAGTTGTATGAGAAAGGTTTGTTCCCTTTTGAGGTCACAGTAAGGGATAGAAGGAACACATGTTTTTTTCTACTAATATAATTTGTTTATTGTTGTTTTTGTTTTTTCCATATCAAAATGGAGCCTGTACATAACACACTGCAAAATCTATAACACACTGTGCTGCAGTAAATGCAGCATAATATCCTGAAATAGGGTTGTTTACAACCCCCACGCTCTTGATTCCTATGTCACATCCTTGTGACACAAAACTTAACAGTTATTGCAGTCTCTGTACAGAATTTAGAGGTAAGTGCATACTGTTCTTCATAGCTACCCCCTATCCCAAGAAATTACAGCAACAAGTATTTTACATTTTAAAGCAGACATTGGAGTACAGTGTAAGATCTGCTTATAATGTCTGGGCCTCCTCCCACTGTAAACATCACTAACTCTGAGTATGTACAAAAGGAACCTGAAGAAGAAGAAATTAAGAATTATCTGATACCTTTCCTCTGTCTTCCACATCAATGGATATGATGTCACTGTCCATATAGGAAGATTTCTTGAAATTGCAGAGCAGTTGAAATCCCAAAAGAAGATACCCATTTTAAATATACATATTTAATTTAATATATTTAACTTTTAGGTGTTCGCAAGAGAAAGGTGACTTGCCTACGTAGAAATGACCACGCTGTTGTTTCTGAGCAGAGATGTGAGAATTTACCTCGCCCAGAATCCATAACCGAGCCATGCAATACAGACTGTCAGTTAAGGTAAATATACATATAGGATACTTGTATACTCCAATAAACCTTCATTATTTCTTCTTGCATTCGTTATCAATGTACAATTAAACTGAATTTTAAATAGTGTCTTGCTAAGTAATTACATTATGCCTGAAAAGTTCAATGCTGAGTAGTCTTGTTTAATATCAATGAGCAAAGCACTATTTATTAGAATAGTAAATCCATAAAAGCATTCAAAATTAATAGTGGAGGGAGAGAGAAACGGTTCACACTTTTTGTGCTGTACTCATGGTATGAGTACTCAGGTTATGAGTAGGTGCTGAGCACAGTTCAAATGCGTCAACCATTTCTTTCTCCCTCCACTGTTAGTTTTGACTGCTTTTATGGATTTACTATTCTAATAAAGATGGTATAAGGACAATCTGTGGAGTGCAGCTAAAATATAAAAATGTCCTCCTGCGCTTTTATGGTAGATACTAAACTTAACTAAAGAGCAGCCAGCATCTAACCTATACCAAATAGGAACAATCGTAAAAAATAAATATAAAAGTGATGCAGCGCTATAACTAGTAATAAACACTCAAGAGGTATTAGAAGTGATTTACATAAAGTAAAATACTAAAAAATAGACCTTAACAAACGGGGCAACAGATGACCCAAATCCACATGGGGATATATAAGAGATAGTGACCCCTAGTACCCAAAGGGTACCCAGTGAAGACCAAGTGAGTATCTACAGGAGAAGCCAAGCAAATAGCAAATGCTTTGTGCAAAATGAAGTGTCCACAGTTCATACAAATGCTGTAATTTCCAATACGTGCAGGTGAGTAACCGCACCCTTCAAACGTGATCCCAAGCAGTATGGCTGCAATGGCCTCTCACCTCCACTTCACGACCCCGCAGGGCCACAAAGCAAATATAGATCACCTCTGGATCCCTCAAACTGGTGGCTCCTCAGGTAGGATGGTGCAGGCAGTCATCAAATAGGCAATACCCAACCGGACCAATTGGCAAGTGAAGATATACTCTCCTCAAGTATAAAAGCTCATATGCCTTTCAGTCTGTAGAAATTGTAGTTTCCTAAAATTGTCAAACTTTAATTCAAATGTTACTCCTTTTAGCATGTCAATATGGAGGTGTTCCAAACACGGTTTGCATACAGAATGCTTTCAGAAATCTAATTTCCTGCTTATGGAATTGGCTCTCTGCTGTTCTCCGAAGTCTGTGCTGATTTGTAAATTTCAAGTATCCCACCTCAATGGGAGTTCCATTGTTGGTGAAAAACCCTTCTAGGTTCATCCACACCTAAAGGAATTGGATTGCTTAGCAAACTATTACCCAATTTTGCTTCTCCAGTTTTGTTTTGTTTTTTTTTTTCCCTTTTAAGTGAATTGCTCTTGTTGATCAAATTGTATAGTACTACAGCTATGTGCTTGGGAAGGATCCTGGATCCTAGTCCTGGCTGTATTTAAGTCCTTGACTCCCCTCCAAGCTGAGCATAAACCCCTCCAGATGCAAGCCTGGACTCTTTTATTCAGT